TTATGTCATCTTATGCTAATTTTAATCCTTTTTGGGTCTTCCATTTTATGTTATTCACTTAGAGATTCTTTTCATAGGATTATTCATTCTTCTCTCTGATGGGTGTCTATAACCCCTTGCAAATTTAATTTGCATTAAGTGTCTTCTTGTACGCATAAGTGCAAATGTCAGCAACGATGTTTTCATGTCATTTTCGTAGTTGTTGAATACATTGCCTATGAAGAGATTTGACAATTGTCACCTGCCACAAACACTTGAAACATGAGACATGAGAATATTTTATATACGAAATCTAAGTTAGTGTGTAAGTGAGGAACGAAAACACATGCGGACTACTTGATGTGTAAAATTATGTGAATTCTAACGAGATTTGAAAAAAATTACAATTGAATTTTGACAAGTGATGCTGTGTGAGTTGAATTGTTAACAATTATGTGTTGATCCATATGCTATCGAAAATTTTTGAGAGTTCTTTAACCCCAGCTGCTGGTCACAGTTTGGCGAACAGTGCCTATGCTTTTTGTTATACAGTTCCTAAATGGTTCCCTACATGTGCAGACACAGTGATGGTCAGGAAACATTATAGGAAGGAAAGAGTGAAAAAATCAGTATCAGAAAGCAGAAGAACAGTGGGAACAGCGGGGGGTGGTGCTGATGCTTTTTTACGCAGACCTCATTACACCGATGCTCAAGGTTATCAAGAGTTTTCGATATACTCTCTCGTCGTCCAATAATATTTGAGAACGTCACGGGCTGATTTTTCTTCTGCATTGATTCTACCAAAGGAAGTATTCGTCACTTGCTCTATGGTGGCATTATAGTTTACTCTGTCAACCCTACTCTTTTCGGTTACCGATTTAGTGTGACGCTTATTGGGCGGCGTTTGTTTGTTTGTGTATCACGGTGCTGCCTAATTTCTTGGTGCAAGAGTATCGAGTAACACAAGGTTTTATCATCTGCAAATGCATAAAAAGGGTTTTCTGTCTCGCACAGTAGGTCGTTGATGCCATACCAGGAAGAGGGAAAGGAAGAGAACTGTCTGTGTTCACTATGTGCTGTTCACGCCTTCTTCGAAGTTCAAATAAGCACTTGAAATAAAGCATGTTTCCACGTGGTTACTTTGCAAACTATAGTTTAATAGGTGGTCCTTTGGATCCTTTGGCCAAATTACTTCCCTTTTCTTACTTTTCTAATCCTCAATTAATTGACAGAATGATGGTAATCACCATTAGATGAATAGTTTTATTTGGTAAGCGATTTTTTTTTCGATTTACTTTTCACGTTTCTTTTCTATTTTAACAAAATTTATTATCCTATCAAGTCATCACGTTTGATCAGGCAATTTAATGTACGGTCACGTTCTCCTTTGAACGGGATTTACTTTTTGTCTTTACTACACCAGACGAAATATTCGATGTAACCTTACTTTCTCTTATTCTCTTACTAAACTCTCAAACACAAAGCCATATGCGAGAATTTTATACAAATTAAGCAGAATTTTTTCTGGTTGTTTTCATATTTACATAAGATGTAGTATGAAAGATGCTTTATTCGTGATGGTTTAATTAATTAATTAATTTGTTTATTTTTATTTTTTTTTTTGAGTTTCAGTCCGGATAAAACGGTATCTAATATATTTTTTTGCTGTTTTATTTTATTCTTTGCTATAATTTAAAAATACCTCCTATACCTTTTGTTACCTTGAAAGTATGCAAAGAATTTTTTCTATTTATACATTCTATTACACGTATAATTGAAAATTGTTACACGTTTTATTGACTGATGTTAAATGCGTCTGCTCTGGATAACAAATTGAATTTGATAATGAACCTTTATGCGGCGCGAACTTTCATGTGCTTAACGTTGTCATATTTATGTAAGCAACCAAACGGTGAAGACGTCTTGTTCTTAAGGTTACACATTGTTAATAAATGCTAAAGCACAGTCTGTAGATTCAAGCGACCGCACCGTCTAACGCAGTAAATCATAAATTCCAGCAATGCTGGAGAAATGTCTGGTCAAGAAAGATGTCTGGATATTACTTTTTTGCTTTCTTTTTTTTACGCATAAGTTACATATTTTCCATTATGTTCCATGCTTTTCTTGTAATATACTTTAACGCTTTGATAATTTTAAAAATAGTTTATGTTCCTGCTGTTATGCTATTGCGTTGTTTGTAAGTCTGCAAAACCCCATGTTGCTCGTAGCCATAGAAAATGTATGAAAATTACAACGTCTGTGATTTATGGAGAAGGAAAAAGAAAAGAGAAAGTAACATAAACGAAAAAATATTCTTGCATAAGTCAACGATGGGTTGAAGGTGTATTCATTTCGTTAAAGCATATGCAAGACCCAAAAGGACGCTTTAGAGGCCTCGTAACTGTATCTATCATTTTTCATTAGCATGAAGTTCTGTCTTCATTTAAGTATATCTGCCCGGCTGCCTTTCTAGTTACACGGGATGTGTGTGGTAAATATTGACAAAAATATTGGAAGATCTCCCAGGCATGTCGGTATTGAAAATGGACCAAAGCGGTCAAAACACACGTCTACAGGACAACTTGCACTACGAACTGTTTTATTTTCAAAAGTAAAAAAAATTGTGTAACTTTTCTCCTAAATTAAAAGCCGATAAAACCAAAAATAAAAAATCTCCATAAATATTTTCGATGGATGATCCTACATTGTCTGCACAAGAATGGACAAAATCGGTTAAGTCCGCCATTTGATAGAGTGGGAGGAAATTTTTCTGAAAGATGGTGTGTGTAAGATATTCGACCAAACCCGAATATAATATTGCCGCTTGTTTTTTTCATGTCTGTTTAACTCTTACGCATTTTAAGTGAATTTTATTTTTTATTCCATTTTTACTGTTGTAGCAAAATTAACAGCTCGTGAATAGCACCGGACGAGTTGCTTATCCGTAACCATCATTCGCAAACTTCTCCCTACACGTTAGGCTTCTCAAAAAAAATTGTCTTTACCGCTTATCTCTAAATATTCTGTTTCCTGGAAATTTACTTTTAAGTCCGCTTTTTTTAATGCTATCAGATTTGGAAGTGATAAAAGCTAAACTAAAAATTCTAGCTTATCGCTTATATCCAACTCGGATCAAATATTTCGATAAACGTCACTTATGAAATTAAAAGATTATTTATTAATAATTAAGTCATGCATCGTCTGTATATAAACAATGAACGTATGCAGTACGTACAATATTGGATTAAAGAAAGTAGAGAAAGTTTGTTATTAAGCGTATGTTATATGTAATGCACTTCCTAATGTATCTTTATTTATTAAAGGATATTTAATATGAGCAGAGACCATATTATTCTTTAATTATTGGAAATATCTCTTGTGTTACTTGAAAAGTAAAAACCCTTGTTATTAAAATCAAGGCTTATTCGTCAGTCATAAGTCATTGCCGCAGCTCTCGTAAATTAACATAGAATTCCACTCTGAACTCTTACAAATAGGTTATTTTCTTCCCAAGTGGCATAACGTCCATCTTATAAGATATGAAGATGTTTAAGGGTTTGCTTAGGGGGCGCTTTTGAATAGAATTTGAAGACAAGTAAGGATATTATAGTCGAGTCGAGTAAGGCCAATCATTAGTTATCCTTCCCAGTTCAGATAGCACGATTATTCACTCGTTTTGGCAATAATTCACAAAAAATTTTCATGCAAAGGCATACTTTTCCTGAAAGCCCGCATATTGGAGGATGCTCATCACATGACGTGATGCAATGTTTGTAACCTTAAGTTCCTTCCTAAATATTTTATTATTTTTCAGTTGCCTTCATAAATTAGACTATCTACATAGGAAGGCCTGCTTTTTATAATGTACCCCTATATATGTCGGTGTCTAAAAATTAAAACGAGTATGATCCAAATTCCCTACCATTCAAATTTCCCTACTGTGGACCGAAATTCATCATAAAATATTAAAAATTAAACCCGCTTTCGGAAAGGGTTGCTAGTTAGGAGAAATCTTGTAAGGAGTCGCGTCAAAGAAGTAGACCCAGGTCGTTCAAATTTGGTCCACCTAATTTTTATGTGAAATTACTATCATGAATCCATTTTCATCCAAAAACAATAATAACATTGAAATCCTTTTTCATATAGAGGTTTACATTTTCTGAGAAGGGGTATCCAAAATATAGTTCCATGTGATCTAAATTCGGTAAGGGTCATTTCCTTGTCAATTCAATATTATGAACCGATTTTTAGCATAAACTGTTTAAAATTAAGACTCTTTTACTGCATACAGATTCAGTTTATATCCGATGGGGTTCAAAAATTTACTCCAGACAAACCAACTTAGAACGTCCGACTAATATTATTCAGCGATTTTTGTCGAGTAAGATTGGAAATGGCAACTTTTTCTACCATATAAAGTCTTTTTAAAATGATGCATTCGATCCGAACTATTTTCAATAGCATTTGTCTGTCTGTAGGTCAAAACATGTCAGTATACCAAATCTAAACAAAATACCTTAAAAATTGCGAATTGTAGATTGACCACAAGATATGACAAATTAGCTTAAATGGATTCAGAAAATGACTCTGTATCTTTCAATAGGTTTCGCTGGAAACCTAAAAAAACTTTTTTGTATTTTTGTTTTCCTGCGTATTCGCTGAATGGAAGAAATTTCAATTGAATTTCCTTCACTTTGCCACTCAAGTTCCATCCAATTAAATAGTATGCCACAGTAACATAATTAGAATGCGCGATGAATAACACACTAACCATGAAATCAAAAGAAACACTTCATCTGACAAACAAACTAAAAGTAAGGAAAAAAATAAAGCAACGAATTGTTTCTGAAAATAACAAAAAAAAAAATGGAAAGAAATATTTGCAACATCTTTCACATTTAGTAAGAAATTGTTCCAAAGCAAAAACTGCTGCACCGCATGATTCATTACCGATGCAGAAGAACAAGCAAATTTATTTTATATGCAGGGAAAATAGTGATTCATTGACTTGAAGAACTTACCTCTCTTCGATAGTGGTAGGAAGCTGTGTGCGTGCTCTCATCATGCTTAAAAAATGTTTACCATGTGTTGTGTGACCCATATGATTGAGGCCTATACTGTTGCTGCCTTCTGATAGATAACCGTTGTCAATGTCATGAAAGCGCGAGGAGTTCGCCAAAGTGTTCCCATGAATCAAACGAGAATTGCTGAAGCGTAGAGAGTCACCATCGCTGCAATATCCCTGTTGGATATCATTCTCTACAAAATCGGAAACATAGTGATGGGCTCCCCTCGCACCTCTGGTAGGCAAAGTAACATGTGAATTGTATCCTCGTAGTAATGGACGCATTGGCAATACATTAATGGGCTTTTCTTCTTCATAAATGGTGCTTACAATTTTCGAAGGTATAGTATGGAACTTGTTTGGTGATCGGTTATTGAAATTTCCATTTGTTACAATCATTTGCGGACTGACAGGTGTAACCGGCTGGGAATGTGTCGTACCATTTCCCCCAGTCAAATTTCTTAACGGGGAAGTTTGCTGGGGTTGTAGGACGCTAGGACCAGAATTATATTCCAATTTTCTTGCGGATAAACCACTTTGGGGTGGCGGTAAACGACCATACATGGGCTCTTGAGTTATGGGTGATTGTAAACCTGAGTTACACTCAGTTGAGTTAGATGATGATATGTTGGCAGTATTGGCGTAATAGGGTGGCTTTGCACCAGGTTCGGGAAGTACCGGTACTGGTTTAACGATATGTGTAGGTGGAACGGTTTGATGATTCGATATGTTGGCAGTGGATATGTCATTCTTTTCTCTACTCATTAACTCGTGTGTTGAATTCGAATTTGTTATATGAGATTTATTGTCTATGTGATGTTGTTGTTGTTGTTGTTGTTGCTGCTGTTGTTGTTGGTTTGGCGGTTGTGGTAACTTGCTTGTCCCCTTTATGGCTGCTATTGGTTTCGGCAAGCCGGTACCATTTGGGCTGCTTACCAGTTTATTCGGAGGCATTATTAACGATGTTTTCGATTCGGATTTGTTTTGTAACGAGACTTTATTTGACGACTTTTGTGCGTTTTTGTCCACCCCTCCTCTGGGAAGTGAATTTTTATGTCTATTCAATGTAGAGCTTTTACTTTCCAGGCCAGATTCCTCCCGATTCAGAGAACGGGCTGGACTTTTCTCTTTCTTATCCGCTTTTGAAGAGCTTTTAACGTGTTCCTTTTTATTTTGCGCTGCCAATAGCTTCGATTGTTTGGCGCTATTTTTTGAATCTCGCATCTTATTAGCTGAGGTAACGTTAACGCTGGGCGGTTTAATCTGTGAAATGTGTCCGTCATTTAAACTCAAACTGGAATCCGACCTTTCTGAACGTGCCGAAGAGAATCCGGAAGATGAGGAAGTACGTTTCGATTGAGGTAGATTCTTGTTGACAGTCGCAGTATTCAAGGACGATTGCTGAGCTGACGATTGATTTGACTTATCTTTATTGAACAACTTCAGTTTCTCGAGCATTGAATGTTTTTGCTGCTGCTGCGGCTGTTGCTGTTGGGGCAGAGGGGTGCCCTTCGCTGGAGTATTGTTAGAATCTGTTCCGGGTATTCCCCCTTGTAAAGCGGTTTTGACAGCTGGCGGTCGGAGGCTGCAACGGAAATAAAGAGTCAAAATTAATTGCAGAAAAGAGAAAATTAATTGCAGAATTGCTTACCCATTGTTATTGGTGACCTTTAAACTTTGAACACTATGATTACTTGAAGGAGGGCTATTAGGACGGTTAGTATTGAATTCGGTACCATTTTTACCCAAGCCTGGTATAGCTTAAATAAAAGCAAAAAAAAAGGAAAATTCATTAATTGTCTATCCACTTGCATCAACAACTTGTTATTTGCAATCTTCGTATCTTGTTCATGCGACTGGCAAACATTTATCTTGTATCCCTTTTTGAGGCTGAAGGTTGTAATTATTCATTTTTTGGAGAACATATGTTGTCATTATCTTTAAAATCTTTCGTATATATAACGTCTTATTATGCGATTGTACGCATCGTTAATTAATTTGCTTCAACACGCGCCTACGCGCGGTTGTTAACGTTGCAAATTCATGTTGTATACGGTTTCAATTGAAATCTCTGTTATGTTATGTTCATGGCACTAGTGGTAGTTAATTAAATTCGCAGTATGATTAAAGCGTTAAATGTCATTAATTATAGCGAAGATATATGATATTAAATGGAAAAAGACAATGAAACTTTAAAGAATAGCTTAAGGAATGCCGAATGGACGATGAGTGTCTACCTTCCTTGCTATTGTTCAGACAAAAGTTACCACCAGCTCGTTTGCGTGACCTTTTTGTGCAAAATGGCAAAAGTAGATTATGAATGAAAACTTGTGATTCAAAGAACGAGATTGTTGTTGATTGTAGTAAAAGCAATACTTTATCCGCAACCAGCAATAATAAAACAACACCCATATGGGCATCAATTGTTGCTTTAGGAAATTGAAGCAACGGTCTCTTTACCCCAGTATTCCTTTTTTTTTTAATCGAAGGTGTGCACTCGCGATTTGCGACTTTTACATGTTCATACTTTTTTTTTTTTTTTTTTTTGCAACGATAGGGGGAAAACACTTAAGTTTAAGTAATAATTTAAATTTATTACGGTGCTGCTGGTAGGAAAAAGTTTCGTAAAATTTTTATTGTTCTTATCGCAAGTGGTTTATCGTTTTCTCAAAAGAGAAGGGGTTAAAGGCCAGATAAGAAGAAGTTTTCTCCTGGATCGATATTATTTGAATATTTTATTTGTATGCGATCGATGTTGCCTGACTTTAGAACTTAACTTGAGCACAAGACACATTTGTCTGTTTCGCTATCTGTTTAAAAAAAAAAGATATCGACAAACTAAAGGTTCATATGTTGTGATTGTGCTAGGGCGTGGGTAAGGATGAAGTGAATTCAATAACTCCTTGAAAGTTTAAATATTAATAAAACTTATCCATTTGTTTGTCATTGAGTCGCATATCTTATTCGGACTAGTGTTTGTAATAGGTGAACAATCTGTTGCTTTGATAGCCGGCCGATAGAGTTTAATAATACTTTTGATTTTATTATATTTATTAGAGCTCTTCGCTCTTGGCTTCGTTTCCGTTTTAAAAGTTACTTCAAAAATTCAAATATTGCGTTTTGAAATTACTTGAACTTTATCCCTACATCTCTCAGAGACAAGTTCTCAGCGTTGAAATTGGACGCTTTAAAAGATAAACGCCCTGCCTTCATTTCTCCCGCCATTTTGAACACGGTTAACTTTGATGTTAATGTTTGCTCGACGTATCAATATCAGTTGGTTATAGGCTGTCAGAATTTAAAGGGATGAATGTCGACCAGCTTTTACGGCACGACATAGAATTCCGTTTTAAACTGAAAAAAAAAACACAGCTGAAGCTATGGGAATAATTCAAGTTGGCTTGGGATGAGAATGCAAGTAAACCTTGAAACTGATGCAAGACAGCTTTGCGAGATTTTGTGGAAAAATTGTGGAAGCATTAAACACGATGAACGCTCTGGAGTTGCACAAAGGGTGTTGTATGAGGAAACGCAACGTTAATCCAGGGCATAAGTCAAAAAGCGATTCAATTCGATTGCGTGCAGAAGGCAGGATAAACGTGTGGCTCATGAACTAACTGAAGAGAACAACAGCTGCATACTTGAAATCTTCTTATGAAATATGGATCTCTACATGAAGAAAGAAGTAAATTTGAGTTAGAAGAAATTCCTTGCACAGCCGAATATTTACGACCATAAAGTGATACAGAGACGATCTCCTACGAACTTCTAAAACTCTGAATGGAATCAAGATCAAGCAGTCAAACAAATTGATGTGATTGCGCTTTATAGTAACGTCCGTCCGCATGTAGTAAAATCAGTCAAGGAAGTAATTTCCAAGACTGCTTGGGAGCATATAGCTCGACGATTAATTAATCTCATAACTGCCAAATTGCTAACACGAGGGTATCCGTAAGCTATTCGATAAGTGCCAAAAGACCGCAGATAATGATGGAAAATATTTCAGTTACTAAGCTTAGTAAAAAGTCGATTTAAAGAAATTTGAACTCTATCAAAATATACGGAAAGCTTATGACTACACCTAATGATATAATTACTTTAACTTCCCTGACTACTTTATTACCTAATGAAAATCTTGAAGTACAAAAAAGTTTTGTATGGTGCTCTTGTCTCCAAAACATGAAAAAAAGCTTTTAACCCATTGGAAATATGCATACGTTCGTATGTATGTAAAAAAATATTTATCAACCCTTAAAATTTGTTTCTATTGAAATCTCGGTCAGTTTAATTTCCATTTAATCTTTTGGGGATTTGTTGTAAAACCACGGTTTGTAATATTTCAATGTTCTTTGAAAAGCACACACACACGACGACCATTGATTGCAATGAATTTTAAATGTTTTGTAAACATACATAATCCTACTCTCAAAGAGAGTTTTAATGAATGCGTTTGGTAGTGTATAGGGGTCGGCGTAAAAATACGAAAAATATGTTTTATATTCAGTAATAAAATAAATGAATATATAAAAGGAAAGAAACGAAATATGTCAATATGTTGATGCATCCACGTTTGAATTGTGATTGTGGAGTACATTTACTTACATGGTGTATGATTTGGTGTAGGTGGTAAAGGTCTGACTTTATCTGGAGGACAACGCCTTTGTACCATAACTGTGGCTGGCAATGGTATTGCTGTGCCATTGGCTTTCGAGTAACCAGCAGGAATTTGTCTACAAGAAAACAGAAGAAGAAACGAGAAAAGATATTAATGCGTTCATATTGTTTATATATATAGTGATATATAAATAAATCTGTATAATAATTCTGCATAAATAATTTGCATTATTTGCATAATTGTACACATATATAATATTTAATTATTCTTTGATTTTCAACCAACCACTCCTTTTAGTTTCTTTAGTTTTTTATTCTATACCAGAAATTATTTCCAACTGAGTGATAACATATAAAAAAACACTTCTCAATGCAAAATATTTGAATCGGGATCTATTTTTTTCTTTACGTTTTTTCTCGTTTTAGAGTGGGCCACGGTTCACCCTAGTTACCCTATATCACCCTCCAACTATTCATATAATGTCTTTTTAAAATAAATTTTTCAGTGAAAATGGCTATATGGGAAGTGATCAAAAAAGTAGTCGGATCCAAATCATTAGCGAGAGCATGCGTCCTTGGGCCAAAACACGAATTACGGCCAATAGATTGATCACATAAAAACAAGATGGACGGACGGAAAGACAATATATATTGTATTTTGCAAAAGGTGAGCCTACTCCCAAGTCCTTCTAGGCATTGTATAAACATCACAACAGCACAAACTTAACAAAGTGTAGAGTATAAATATCATTCTGTCATTAGTTGGGATTTATCTGATTGAAGTTCTTACACAATTATTGTGCAACGATTTATCGCGTAATTTTATTCATTGTAGCTTTTAGAAGAAGATCTACTGATTAAGAACTATTTCTTCTTCCCTAAATCAAGTGCTTTGAATGCTTAGAATGAATGTAAAACGTTTGCTTAAAGAACCCTTCAAATTTTGCTCATTTTAGTTTCATTTTAGTTTGTATTTTTGCAAAGATGCGCTTCTCTTATGAGGATTGCAGGCGATTAACAAAAATATCCCCAAAATTACAGCCTGTAGGTTGAAGATGCCGAAACGCGACGGACAGACAGACGAACGGGCGGGCAAGTTTAAATCGACTCAGAAGCTCCTTCTTGGGTATTGCATACATACCTGAATATACCCTCGCACCAGAGGAGATATAGGGTGCAAAAATCAAACGCACCATTAGCATAGAATGAGGTCACTAGCAAGTAAGGCTTGTCTTGTCGCCTTAACATTTACATTCTATATTTTCTATATTATATAATTTTTTCCTATCGACGAGCTTCGTTTTAATTTTATTAAATGCAATGAACATTTGCGTCCTTCATAGATCTGACAAATTAATAAAAATAAATTTAAAAACAAAAGTAAATAAAAACTAATGGGTCACGAAATGTACAAACAAACAAATAATCATAAGCAATGAAGAAGAGAAAGCACTGAGTCGATCCGATCGACAGTAAAAATGAAAAGCTATAAGCTTTTTAAATTTCATTGCTGAGTTGTTCGCGATCAACCTCACGTCATACGTGCAATATGACATAATTACAATTGTTCCTTAACAAACTGCACACGCGTTAAAAATTTTACTTGAAATTGCACTGATATGTAGATAACTAACGTGATCGATTTCATTTTTTTTAGTCCATAAGTAGAGAACGGAGAGGGTTTTTTTTTTTTTTGTGCATACTAGTTGTCTGTTTCGTTATGATATTATGCGTTAAACGTTTACCGTATTCACTCGGCGGATGATTTGATTTAATTAAAATTCATTGCTTTGCACAGACGACAATGCGAATGCTTACACTTTTCCCTTCGTGGTTAATAAAATTGCTTGCCTTTAAAAAGCAAACAACAACAAAAGTGGCAAAACTAAGAAGTTCCTTTGCAATGGAAGAAACACATAAGGAAAGCAAAATAAAAAAAGAAGAAAAACAAAGATAAGGGAAAGAAGCAAATCCACAAAAGAGATTTTAGAGTTTAGAATGCAAATGCAAACTTAGGTAACCAAAAAAGTAGTTAGAAGTTTTATAACTACGCATCATGCGAACCACCAGCAGCATAAAAATGTTACGCATATTAAAAGAAAATAAATAAATAAATAACCAATGTGTGGTAAATGTAAAAAGTCATCAGAAACGGCAGCCACAACAACTTCTGTGGAGAGTATGGACTGTGTATAGAGTAATGCAATGCATAGAAGTATAAAAGTAATGCAACAAAACGAGACTTTATTGTTAGGTATAAGCTTAAAAAAGTAACTATATATGCATGGCTCGACGGAGGCAAGCTTGTAAGTTATAGTTAGCATTCGAAGAGAGTGTTTCAAGTGTCATTACGGTAGACGTTGTCGTTTTGAGTGCTAACTTTTGTTTATAATGTTTTTGTTTTGCTTTTCTTCTCTTGTTTTCTATGATAAAGAAATCTATTGAAACATACGGAGGCAGAGAGATGTATTTTTTATGCAACATTTATATAAAAAGAATAAAAAGCACACAAATAGAAAATAAATAAAGAATAAAACAAAAAAAAAATGTATGAATTTGTATGACTTTGAAAGTAATTTAAACTAAATCGTACACATCCATAACAAAAAGTACAAATAATAAAAGAAAAATTGGATTGGAAGGAATTTTTACATACAAATTGTTGCAAAAAGTTGCAAGGGTAATGACTTATGGTATTTTTCTTTTATTTATTTCTTATTTTTCGTTCTTCTATTTCTATGTTTATTTAATGTGAAATTTAATTTTGCCAAAAATATAACAAAATTTTCTCATTTTTCAATGAATGAGTGAATGCATTCCAGCAATCAAATTACTTCCAGTTTATCTTTTGCTAAAATTGCAAAAGGAAAAAGGAATTCTTATTAAAAGCGAACAAATCCGAAGGCAACATATGCAATGCATATGTAATCTCTAATTGTCATATACAAAAATTTACGGAAACAAATAAAAACACGGCCCATAATTAATCTTTCAAAACAAGACGGTACATGGGACGTGGTCGAAAAACTGTTCCGATTCGAAACACATTAGTGTATCGAAATCAAAATATCTCAAAAATTGCGATCTGTAGTTTGAATACAAGAATGCAAGACGGACAGATGGACAGACAAGAGAACATTGTTTCAGAAAGTGATTCGATCGATTGCTATAATAAAAGGTGGGTCTCTACTTCAAGTCTTTCTGGGTGTTTCATACATTTGCACAAACTGAATATGTTCTCGCATAACAAGTGGTATCGGGTATAAAAAGTGTGTAACATACATAATGTTATGTGTTGTAAGGTTTTATAGGCACAAGTTGATTTTAAATAGTCTTCTATAGTATAGTACGGTATAGTGTGCAAACTTAAAATATCTTTTGTATCAAAATAACGACTTAAACGACAAAAACATTGTCAGCAGATTTTCAATACAATCTATTATTCAGTATAGCATATGTTTTAGGTATAAACCATGTCGTTATCCAATTTAAGTTAAATTTTTCAAATAAAAACACAAAAGGTTTTCATTCGACTTCCTGCTTGATTTTATGGGATAGAAATGCAATCCACTCAAAGCAAAAAAAAGTTGAAATCGTTTAGAGTTCATTCTCTCGACTAAATGCGTTTGCAATTGTAAATCAAAATATGCGTTACTTATTGCTATTGTTGTAGCCATTTTTGTTGTTATAACAGCAAGTCATTTGTTGTCTAGATATATAGCAAAAGTTTCAAGGAGGGTGTGTAGCACGTCACGTCTTGTACTCGCTTTCAAGCAGATAAAGTTCAAGACAAGGAACACCTCTTCTTAAAAGTCATAAAGACAATTGTTTTGGTAACATCTGTTGCCCATTACACATACACATAACTATACAGCTTTTTACTCTTTTGTAAGTAAAAACACAATCACAACAATTCCAGATTTTTTTATATAAGAAACAAAGTAAATACATTTCTTTTTTAATACACAATTATTAATATACTTATTATTAAGACTTTAATTTAATTTCTTGTGAGCATTTATATACATTTTAATTTTGAAACAAAATTGTATCGTGCAAATTAAATGAACACGAGTCTCAACAACAAAATGAGTTATGGTATAACTCAAAGCAATTATCATTGCTTTCAAAGTTATATAAAGGAATATATTGCATGAGATATGATATTAGGACGAGACGCTGCTAGAAGCAATTAAAACTGAAGTTTTCAGCTTTTTTTTTTTTTTCATTCCCTTATCTTTCATTTTTCTCTCAATTTCTATGGTTATGTGTTTAATAATTAAAAACTTTTCTCGTTTTCATTTCAGAGGAAAAGATTAAATAACTTTCTTTTTAAAATATGAAGCAAAAAAAAAAAATCGTAACTTAGTTGTTAGTCGTAGGTATATATATAATATACGTACTTTAATATCGAATCACATCTTTATAGATTTTGGAAGTAAGTATTGCGTTTGTAGCTAAGCAAAGCGACTTGTTTGTAACGAATCATACCACGATGTGTCTTCCAAGCACTCAGGAGAATCATGTGTATAATTGAACTGTTATATACAAACATAAAGTATAATATGCAGGCCTGTATATTTTCTGAAATTCAAAGTTCAAGTCTTCCTTAAAGGCTAACTCTTTTTTCTAGGTTCGATTCAATTTTCTAAGTTCGAAATAATTGAGATTTAAATGTGATCTGCCGAAAAGAATAAGAGACAAATAAAAACATTATAGCCGGGCTAGACTGATTTTTAAATACCCTAAGCCACATTGTCGAACATAATTTTTATTTTTGCCATAGAATACAAGAATTCTAGCCTTTTATTATAGGAAATTACTGGGCGAAAATTATGGGACTGTATCTGCAAATGAAGTCTCACTTTCCGTAAGAGTGGTTGTGCCCTAAAAAATTTAGCATATCATTATGGATCAATTTTTATCACGAAATAGCAAAACTTGGACTAAAAACAAAAAGTTTCATGCCAAACCCTTATATAGGGTAGGGTCTAAAAATAGGCGTACGTTGTCCAAATTTGGTACAGTGGTGCTATCATGGTTTGATTTTCATTATGAGGCATTGAAAATTAGACATTTTTGTCTTTTTGTGAACTTTAGCTTTAGTTTAGTTATA